CCTGCTCGCCACCATGGTGATATGGGTGATATATGGGCGTAAATTAGTTCACCAGCTCAGGTGACGAGACCGACCCCCACCGATCAGATCCACCGTTGCCCTGACCAAAAAAGCTGCCTTCCCCACTCAAGTCATGGTTGGAGCTGCTCTGGGCATCCCCTCGACCGGTCCGCCACGTCTTGTAGATTTGGTCAGCCATATCAGCTGACCCCTCCCTTGCGATCGATTGCAGAGCGACACGCCGACCATCAGCCAACCAGTCTTGTGCGTCGAAATTGCAAGGCATTAGTAGTAGTGTGCGTCACAGCCTAAGCACGGGAAATGTTCAATTACCATTAAATGTCTCCGGCTCCTCCGGCTTCCAGAGCCGGCGGCTGCAATCGGTACACGCTGGCGAAAGCGCAGGGCGTTCTAGGATGTTCGACGAAAGTAATACGACAAGAACGTGTCTACCGAGGTCACTTCAGGCCGCCGTCATGGAACAAAATTGCTTCCAAGTGCAGTAATTAAGTTATATGACGTTGCCATCTGATACCTGCAAAGTGGATGCAAAACAGTGTTGTTCTTATCACCAATTTATAAAAAGAACTGTAACTTTTTCAGGCTTGCCGCAGGAAGGGTGGGTAGTTCTTTATGTCGCTTGTAAAGCGTTACATTAAGAGCCTCCTGTGAAAATGACTTTCCCTAAAATTCTCAAAATTTCACATGACTTCCGACAACACTAAGCATTTACCTGCATGCAACTTAGTTAATGTTCAGGTTAAACGACAGTGTAACGCTGTCACTGTGATTCCATTACGGCGTCACCTTTAAATCACAAACGCATCGTGAAGTGCATGCATTTTTGTGGAGATGTCACTGGTGACAGTATACTGAGAACTCTGAAAATCGTGAATAGTCTCAAAGTGTCTGTGGCGGCAAGCAGGAAACCTTGCAAAATTAAGGGACAGTCTCAAAGCCTCCGCAAGAGGGATGTCGCTCTTTATGGTCTAATGGAGTAACAAACTGGTCTCAGATGAGACCACGCGGCAAGAGGTCTCATCCTTGAGATCGGGGAGCATCCTCCAAAGAGAACTTCAGTGCGAGTTCTAGTAGTTTTCAATGAATAATGTGGATGAAATACACATATCCATTTCCTGTTATGTCAGCCTGGCTGAGGACGAATGGATTTATATGGATGATACAAATTTTTCCAAGGCTGTATATGTGCATCAACTATATTTAACACATGCCTCATTCCTTTCTTGGCATACTTCTCCCGCGGCTGCCTCGGTAGTTTTTTTATAAAAGTTCGGTGACGTAATACGAAAATGAGCCGCATGAAATTTATAGTAATCAAATTGGCACATTTGTATTCCTTTTTGTTGTATGAGCTCCGGCACTGCGCATGATCGCTTATACTCCTTTCTCTCAGATTCTTTGGGAGGAAAACAGTGCTTCTTTCCCGACATTTCAAGACCCCATGACCCAATTCTTCGGGCTGTACGAATATGAGCTCCGAAACAGCTTCCTTGATTGGCCCCTTCCTCGCATTTCACTGCATATACGTCACCATACGGCTCAAATGAGAACCGACGCAGTCAGCCCAGGCCACTTAATCATTTGGAAGTGCGTCGTCTTGGTCAAAGGTCAGGGCTCGATCCTGATCCTGATCCAGATCCTGCCGGCTCGGTCCCTATCACATGCACGCTGGGCCTTTCTTTCCTGGTACATCACGATCCGACCTCATCTTATTCTGCCCGTGGACGTAATTGTTGTCGGAAAGCACAATTGGACAGGGTGGCACCGGGGCTAAGTAGGCGCGCATTTACATTATTACTTCCCATACCTCTACCCTGGGCGTTGTTTCTCTGTTTCTCGTTGTAACAACTGAAACGTTCTGCTACGCCGCACTTCAAACTGAGCTGGACATGGAGAGGGCCGAGACTCTACGTCGGCCTGGCTGACATTGGTTATCTGACATTCACACAACACCGCGCCTTTTCGCCATGATAGGATGAGGCAATTTCCGAGTGCATCACATGCAGTTTTCTCAATTAACTCGGCCATGCCGTGGTCACCTTATCAGCTGCGTGTCTTCTGGCCCGACCCGCTGTGGCCGCATACGGCCATTTCTTACAGGTCCATTCACTTACGCGCCCGTTCCGGACGTGAGCATGCCATGCCCGGTACATTTACGGGATAAGAACGAGAGCAAGATGGCGGACCGGCCGGCCTCCATAGGCCATAGCTGCCGCAGCAGTGAATATTCCGAAAATACTCTGGTGAGTTCATCCTGGCACGTATTTCACCAATCAGCTAGATGCGACGACTTCTGAAAGCTTTGAACAGCTGACTTTTGGGAGTAATGTCCTCTCACGACACTCTGGTCTGGTGTATATCGAGACTATTTGACACTGGCAGGGCCGTGTCCAGATGGGACGGGTTAACGCTGATCATGCTGTCTTGCTGTAATGCACACCCTTGACATTGGGCTTGAATTGCATTGAATACAAAGTGTCACAAAAGTAGCTATTTTGCGCATACACGTCAAGTTTGAATGGAAAAATCATATTCTATGGTGAAACATTAAATATGATTCAAGGCAAGCAAAATGAATGACTTTCTGGGATCACAGCTTACGCCAAACAATACTTGTGGCATGGGCACTGACCCCTGCCATCCGATCGTGCAATGCCAGGTCAACGGTAGAATTTGATAACGAAAGCTTAACGTGCCGCAGTGTTCGGCACTGTTCGTCCTATTCTCTGACCTCACCTGACGTTTAACGCGGCCGCTCCGACCGGCTGTCGGCTACATATGTCAAGGGCAAATAGCGAGTACCTAAAGCAATTCAAATCCACCCTGCTTCTGGCGGGTGACTCGGAAGTGAGGCACCTTTTCACCTGATCTATAAGGACACGCAAAACACGTAATGCAAATGTTAATCTAGTGAAATATTTCGGCAGATTTGTACATCTAACGTTTGTCCGATGGATGCGAAAACATTTCATGCACAAGAAAACAGAACATTCAATGATAATAGAATGGCTAACATATGACAATGCAAGGACGATGCCTCTGAAATATGGATCCACAAGGGCAGCAAAATACATACAGTGACAATGTAGTCAGCCCGTTTGGCGCAAGTGTTCTCACCTTTCATAATAAGGGCCACTTACCGACATGATTGTTCAATGATTTTTGGACTTAACCGGCGCGTCGACTACTGCGGTAATTTTGCGCTGGCATTTTTGATCATGGAAGGTTCAGGTCACAATTTCACGAAATGCTTTCATAATTTTTTCTGTATTTTCCCAAGACGCTTGCTCAGTACTTCTCCCCGCATTCAGGCATGGCACGCAGCGCATTACAACCGCGGTCGGTGCGGAAATGAAGCCCGATTGCGTTGCTATGCCCTTGTTTTATGACGCGCGGCGGTGGTCGCAAAACCCTTTACGGACCGAAAGAATATACTCTCCCATACAAATAGCCAAACATAGGGTGCATGTGATGCACTGCATCATTGGTGGAGCAACAGCTATCAAATGCAAAGGCGCATGGGTTCCACCTCCCCGTTGTAATCGGACAGGCTTACCAATGCAGGTCTCTGCGGAACAGCCGTTGGTTTAGTGAGACTTCACTGTTTCACAGATCTCCGTATTTATGCCGATATTTGTACGGATCTCACTACATTGGTGTATAAGCCGTCATCGGTGTGGCTTAATGTTAGATACATCATTTTTTTTTCTGTGTGGCGCCTTTTCGGTAGGATTGGGGGCGTTTGCTGGCTGTTGTTTGATATTGAAATTGGGTGGGGAGATATTCGTTGCATTGGAATTTATCTGCAATACGGTTTGCATTACGGGTGATGGCTTGCGGGTTATTGATAGACGAAAACACGTCACGCTACATAACGAAGCTGATGCCAAAGTTCCCAAGACCATTCACAAGCTTATCCTGAACTAAAAATATTAAAAAATGTCAGTGATGTCGTGAGGTTTATTTCAAGCCACGGATATGCAATATGAAAATATTGATAGCACTGATGGGAAAATAGCACCCTAAGAAATGTTATTCATGCGTGCTTGAACAAGCTTTTCTATATTTTCCAGGAGGAATTCAAGCATGCCGTTATAGTTCCCAGAAATTAGGAAACGTGTAATCCGTCATAGATGAATGCAGCTAGCTGCACCGACCTAAGTACAGAGGTATGCACGTCTTACGTAGAACAATACATAAAACGATCATCCACGCGCAAAATCAGCAATATACCATCGTTTTGAAATTTCTGTACACCCTGCGAAAACTACTTTCATACAAAACTGTGAGCATGCCGGGTCAAGGTCTGAAAATTGAACATCGGCGAGGGAGAAGTTACTAGGCCAACAATGCGTCAATGCATAGGCTCTGCCATTTGGAGAAACCGGGGAACGCATCCCCAACTTTGCGTAATTCTTTTATGACGCTTCATTCGATGGAAACGCGTCGCAAAAGCTCGACGCACCACCATTGTTCGACCCGTGGCGAAGCCGCTACGTCAACATCCTCGCAGAATGTGAACAATGAACGCGGTAAAAAATGAATGGGCTTAGAGGCCATCCAAACCCAAGGTTGTGGACAGTCATGAATACCTCAGGTGGCCTTAAAGCACCTCTTGCTGGTAAGTGGTGGGAAGGCCCGACTCGATGCAATTTGAGCCCGCGCATGTGTGACAAGCCATGCAGCGACGACTTAAATATGCCTCAACTTTGAGTGGGCAAACAGCGCGGCATCCGCAAGAGTTGCACGCACTGGTCATGGGGTTACCGCCCAGTTTCTTTACGCTTTACGCTGTCAATTGAATGCGAAATTAGCAGGGTACGTGTTACACCCTGTTTTACATTCGGAAGCCGGCAACCCTGCCCAAGTTGTCAAGTCGACAGGTAATTCCTAACTTGCTCGAGTGTCCAACTCGGTTGAGTCACCGTCGTCTGGGGCGAGTTTCAGCATAGTGATGCGTCGCTTTGCCTTGTTTTCAGAGTACCGGCGAATCCAGGACAACAGTACAGAGGAGTCGGGGCCCAGCTGGTCCACGCTGAAGACCTCCGCACTCTCCAGCTGCGAGGAGGAGGGCACCCACCGAGTCGGTAAGAGGGTAAGCTTACTGGCGGAGCTCTATCGCCGCAGACGACGCGCAATCGCCCGCTCTGGCCAATGATTGTCAGACGCTCGGTTTTAGCGTCGATGTAAACGGTCTGCATTTCACGGAGTGAAGTCGGCTTGCATTTCAATCGGCTACACAAGACACTTCGTGGTGCCATCAGCCGCAAAGTCGGTGAGCACCGAGACCTGTCGACGCCGTGCGCCGCTGGTAGCCCATTGGCATTCCAGCGTGTTCGGGTTTCACGGAGCAATTCACTTACACTGGGCGTGTGCGGCATGATCGAAGGTCAGCCGCGCCGCCCTGTGCGGAGTACCGGCCCGCCTGGCTGACCTTCGGAGTCCCATCCCCTGTGCGGAGTACCGGCCCGCCTGGCTGACCTTCGGAGTCCCAAACCCTGTGCGGTGTTCAGAGTGTCGGGAGAGGACTTCCAGCTGCTCTTCGGAGGGCCTCGGCCACGCTCATTTATTTAAGAGGCGAAGGAATGGGTGCTTCGCTTAAATGAATGGACTTGTGAGTGACTGCGCAGCGGACACGGATGAGCTGGTTGGAAGAGAGAGAAGGCGAGGGGTCTTTTAGAGAGTGCGGTGAATGTGCGTGAGGGATCGGGAGAGTGGGTGAATGACAGGTTCACTCCGGATGATTGAGGGAGTGAGTGAGTGAACGAATTACTGGTTGTCGCAGATGAGTGAGTGAGCAAATGACAGGTTGGCGCGGTTGACTGAGAGAGTGAGTGGGCGGATGAGCGAGCGTTGACCAAAATGCAGGTAATGAATGTGTGAATGAATGAATGTGTGATCAAGCAGTTGCGATTTCGTAGACTAATTGCCAAAATTACTGGATGACTGTTTGCATGGGAGCTCATTCTCCACACCTCGTCAGAGCCGACGTCCGTTCCACCTCCCGTCTTCCGTTACAGAGGTCCTGCTCGAGTCGTATGGCCTGACAGGCGAGCTGGACACGTTGGACGAGGCTGTCCAGCTGTGCGGCGACGGCGCCTACCAGCTGGCCCAGGAGCAGCGCGACGTCCCCTGGAGCTTCATCGACTCCGTCTTCTTCTGCATGACGGTCGTCACAACCATCGGTGAGCTCCCTGAGGCATGCTCAATGAAGGACGAACGTAGATGTCAGCGGTCGAATGATGTTGATGTTAATGAATGAATGTTGATGCTGATGTCCTCAATTGTTTGCAGCTTTGTGATTGTGTTCAAGGCAAGGCACGCCTACATTCTCACCAGCATTGACCCGTGCGCCAAGTGTGCTTCTTTGCCATTTCAGATATCAATTTCTCAACACACAGATAAGGGCACTGGTACAAGGAGCGGCACACCTAGTATATTTGGTCTGAGGCTCCCCCCTCTCCCTCCTCACAGCGTCGGTACACGTTATTCCGCATTCCTTGGGCAGCCGACGTCATTGACGACGGCAAGAACGACAGCCCGAACAGAAAACGGGATGTTCAGATTCAAGGACAATTAGGCTAATTTTACGCCCGTCGCCGGCTGCAGGTCGGCTATTTAGGCTTCATAGGCTGCTGATGTACATAATCAGGCATGCAATGGCACAAGCAAAGTAGCTGCCGGGCCTAGACTATGAAAGTAAATTATTGATTGGCTATGCACATAAATAAAAACTATGCAATGAGATAAACAAAAGTGCACGTCAAAATATAGAAAGAAATCACGGATTAACTAAAAATGAGCCGTCACCTACTGCAACATGACCATGCAGGTCGGGGAAAAGTTATAGCTAGGGCCAGGTCAGGCTCACATTGTCTCGATGCAATGCATGCAGGTCATACTCTCAGGCTGCAATTTACTGTTTCAAACGCAATTTCAGCCAGCCACACACACACAAACACATCAATACAAACCCACGTGCAAATGAGAAGTACACGTTATCAACTTTGCACTCGGTGCTTTCGGGCACACCAAACGTTTCGCTGGATCCACGTCCGGCTTTTGTGGGCGGCTGCCTCAGCCGTGCATGGCCTGGCTGCGGCCACCTGAAACTGATGGACTTCCGAGGCGGCACGACGGTCCAGCGTGCGGGCGCAACCCGGTGTTGTGGGATCCGGCGTGTGGTCGCCAATCAGCCCCGCGGTGCGACCGGCACGTACCGGCGGCGGGGCGTGCTCAGAGCGTGCTGCGGGCGTGCTCGCCTCCCGTGCCGAGCGCCGGCCTTGTCACGGCACGTCCGGCACTGCCGCACGGCACCGTGACCCCACCCGGAGGATAGCTGCCGCCCGGAGCAGAGGACGGCGGTGCAGGCGAGACGCCGCCGCTCGCCAGGGGCAGCGCCGGAGTCCCTGTGCCATGTCCAGGCGGCGGAACGATGACAAATGCTTTAACGTGTGGTATGCACTGGGATTCAGGTTATGAAACGAGACCGTAAAGTTGTTTTTTCTGGAAGTTTTTATGACACCAGTCGCCAGGCCAGCCTTTTTCTGAGGCTTACGTAAGTTAAGGTATTTTTCCAGTAAGTTGCTTGTCAAAATGTAGGACGGGTAAAGACGTCCTTTGCACACTGCAGCATATTTAATAAAAGAAATGACCAATGCCCCGACATTGGCTCAATATTTCATAGTGGATGTCAGTTCGCCGCACAGCCTCTTTACAGATATGTCGAAATGGGTGCCGATAGCGCGGTGGGTAATCTACGAGTCTGGGAAACCAACGATACGAGGTTCGATATCTCGCGGCGCGCGCCCTTCCCGCCAGGGTAGGAGGCAGGCGACGCCATATCGCCCCGGTCACTGAGTTCGCTGCAAAGCTCCAATGACAGCTATACCAAATTCACCGGGCCGCCATTCGAACGTGACTGTTGTCAAAGGTCCTGGGATTACGAGCTTGTGAGCGCCGCCCCGCCGGGATGCTTATCGCCCCGCTAAGAATGAACAACTGGTCACATTGGGAAGGGATCTTAGTCTGACCCCGACGTCCGGCAGTCCAAACAGCAGAGTTCAGGAGCAGTGAGACGTAGTCTTCGTCGTGGGACGAGCGAAGGGAGAACAGATGCCATCATCACGTGGATGATACGTGATGACGCAGTCGAGAGACGTGAGAGAACGTGAGTTGTCGCCTTGAAGAACTTATTCTATACCTTGTCAACGTAAGTATTTCTTGAGTTGTTAAGTGCGTTTGCAAGGAACATTGTGCATATAGATAAGACTGTAGTAATAGCCTTATTCCTCGTATAAAAACGGGGATGGTGGATATATATATATATATATATATATATATATATATATATATATATACATGCGTTGATATTACGGCTACACACCTTTATTGAAACTAAATGCATGTACTGATTTTCCCGTTTCGATAAAGACATAGAGGCGAAATATCAACGTATCTATCTCGCCATTCTTCTGTTTTTTTGTGAGGAATGAGATTATTCCAACGACCTCGTCTTTAAAGTGCTCCTCTACCATCACCTGGAAGTAGCGCATGCGGGGACACGAGACAACCGACGGCAGCAGACGGGCGCTGCCAACTGCTCTGGTGGCCACTGTGCCCCGTTGCATTTCACAATGCCAGAATACAACCGTGCTCTCACAAAACGAGTGTGTGCAACCACCGAAATTAAGTAACGACATGAGGCCAACAAAACTTACTTAATCACAAATGAAAACCATCTAAATGAAGTGTTAATACGTGCAGTAAAATTTCAGTAAGTGATATCAGCAGGCAAAGGCACACTTATGCTTGGCACCCGCGCCCACCTTCACCAGCTATTGCTTAAAACATGGCAGGCTCTTAGCCTGACAAAACCGATAATCGACGAAATAACGGAAGTTGGAACTGTTTACACGCTCGTTGGTCGTGATCATAGTGTTGTGAAACACGCAAATATCGTGCAAGGAAATCGGTTATGACAAGTTGCACCACACGCCTTTTCAGTTTCCAAGCCCGATATTTCTTGCCTTGGACCTCACCGTGACGCATTCGACTCTGGGTTTGGAGACGAGGACGTTGACCGCCACCACCGTCGCACCGACGGGGTCGACGTGTGCCGAGATTGCTCTGTGACTTGTAGATGGTACATCTGCCGACATGATTTCGCGTCGTAATCATCTCTAAGTACTGAAATCTGACATCGATCCCTAAAACGGTCTTAAAGTGGCGGATCCATGATTTTCGCACACTAACGCCTGGCAGTTTGTCAACATCGACCCAGATCTTTGGCAGTCCGATCGTCCGCTGTGCATTTTTCAGAATGCGATGGCTTGATGTGTTTACGCCGCCCGTTCGTTGACATCTGGACCTGGCTTCGATCAAATTGTAAATTTTCCGTTTTCCATGCCAATCGAATGGGGAAGATGAAATTATAGTGATAAGGCAACGTTGCAAGGGAACGCCGCCTGGCCAGTCAGTACGAATGCAAAGTCCTTGAAAATATTGCGAGACTGCTTTTAAATCAGTGTATTTCTCGTTACTGAAATTGCACCGCGCATCGGAATGCATGATGCAGATGCGTAGGTTACGAACGGTCCCCGCGCAAGCGAGCGGACGCAAAGGTTACAGATACAAACCCATCGAAGGTGTGCCTACCCAGAGCTAGCCAGCGGCCGCCGAGGCTGTACCACTTCCGTTCGGTTCCGCCCGACCCGTGGCCTCGCTCATAGTAACAGCCCATTCAGGATGTTAGTTCCAGCTACCAATGGTTCTTTCCCTTTAAGCAGGGCGCCAAATTGTAACACATACTCCATAAACATTGCTGTGAAAGATCAGTCGGACATGAACCTTGGACATCGCCAAAATCCTTCAAGATGTGCTATGGATGGCCAGATTTCGTCGGCTGGGGATCGATTACACTGCTGTCATGTGCGCCAGACTAGATGCAGTCGTCTAACGGCGGAAGCAGACAAGCCTATCCGTCTTATGATGAACACTGGCATCCAGACAAACCCTGGAGCCCAGAATATTGCAATCTACGAGGCCGAGATAAGCCAATGCACCAATTCTAAAGCAGAGGCGGATGCAGAAAAGACATCGGGGAGGGGAACACTTCGTCTTTTTTCGGAACGGTCTACATCGGTTACGTGCGTGAAATAACTTCTTATGCGATTGCAGGTCTAGAAATTCGAGGATGCGAAGGAGCCATTTACGGCCACTTCTGTCTCTACTACTCTGATATCGGTTCCCGTCCTATCGTTGCTCGTGCAAGTATTTGATCTTTACGTGCAGCGCCCAGGGTTATCCATCTTGTGGGTAATTGGTTGACACTGTTGCTTGGATGATTTTATATCCTCCAATGGTCAACGGGACAAGTGGAAAATCTATAATTACGGGACCAAAGCGGCCTTGGTAATGGCTTTTCGGTGTTCGCTCCACCATGCTAATAAATAGATAAACCAACTCTCGCCATCCCAGGCTTGACCCGGCGAATGGCTGCCATTCCGTATCTGTCTGCGACCGCGCCTGTTCTCTGTACGCGTGACGTAATTAGCGCTCGGGAGGAGCGGCCACAGCACGCCATGGCCGCGGCACTCGGCCAATGCCACGCGCCTACAGACCAGCGCGCTGCCTGCCCATTGCAGCCGCCTCTCTCGGGATGCGGGAGGACGTGCGGGGGGCCTGGCCGCCGGGTCAGTGCGGTCGTGATCCTGTGCTGCTGAGGGTCTGCCCTCGAGACACTGCGAGGCCTGTTGCACACATTAGGACATAAATGGTCCGTACAGTGTCAAACACGTGATGAGAGGGGGCTATTTCACCGGAGAAGATGAGCGCCACAGAGCTTCAATACAACGCATCACAATTTTCCACACATGCAGCGATTCATACAAACCCAACGACCGTCGCAAGCAACCTTAACGCTAAGGCTAAGGTCAAGGCGCAGGGGTGAGGTTGTGCGCGCATCTCGGGTTACGTCACGCGGGGTGTTCACCTTGCGTGGGATGCGCCGTTGCATGTCATCCCTCACTTTGCGCGTCATATACGTCCCTCCAACTGTGAGAGGCCCGCACAACTTACGGCCAGCCTCACGGAATACTTGTCTCGGCTCACCTGGGACGGCTCCGGCACAGCGATCTCGGCGACTCAGCTGAGTGTAATACCAGCTTTTGTGCAAGCGGGGTAATCTCCATTCCTTGAAAACGCTTTGATAGCTAGCGCCAGCTGACGGTGGGCGGTTACTAAGAATAAGACACACAAGTTGTTGCTATGGGCACTCAAAACAGGCTTGATGACTGTAGTGCCGAATTTCATTCAGTGCTACTAAACATCTGTTATCAATACTCAAATTAATTTCTCATTTATCTGTCGGATGCCATTTAAACGTTGTCGATTCCGCGGTTCTTTTATTGGGCCTACGAACTGATGCAACGTCTGACAGCTGGGGCATCAACGTTTTACAACATCCAACGTATTACTGAGCTTAGCTTTATGGCAGCTCACGGGCAGAATGGATCCCGCAGACGGAGTGATGACGACAGCGCAATCTCACAGACCTGTGCGTTCAAACTCACCAATCTGTGACGACATCACCCGAAGAGCTCGGTGGAGCCGCGTGTCAGCCGCGGTGCTCTTCTCTGCCGACCACAGGGATCTGTATCTGCAGGCACCATCGCCCCGCAGCGAGATGCAGCATTGCGCTCCGTACTCACGCTCAGCACTAACGCCAGATAATATCCCACCCCACCGGGTACACTTAGCTGAGCTGTGGTCAAATGACAGGATACGATCGTATCCTGTCACGACTGAGGCGTTTGCCTAGAAAAAAATCCGTTCCGCCTAGGTCCGCTTAGAGCAAAAAATCGAGAGCGTACAGTCACGTGTCGGCCGTTGCGTGCCGAGAATGGCCTCACAGAACATACACGCGTCCACACCCTGCGCCAGATCATGGGCTCCGCCTCGGCCTGCCTCACCGACGCTGAGCTCGAGTGAGCGAACCTCGTCCAGGCAGGGAATCCATCTCCCACGGCGTCATGAACTTCCGCTGATGCTCACCGAAGCGAGCACGAGCATCACCCAGCAAGTGGTCCAACGCTGGAAAACAGCTCCACTCGGAAGCGGCCTCCGACCGCGTCAGCCTCAAAAGTGAAGGGCGTGGCCGCGCCGCGGGGTGTGCTTCGCCAATCTGCGACACGCGGACGGCTTATTTCCACACCTGCTACTGCTTTCATACATACCTCTGCCTCTGAGAAGATGTTGGATAATTTTGCATCGCTGGATCCGAGCCTCTCCAGCTCTTCCACGACTTCGTTGATAAGGTGCATGGTTGTGACCAGGTCAGCACCATTCCCTTGCAGAGCTCTGCACAGCGGCAGTAGCCGGCCGGACAGCTTCAGCAGAACATGTAGGCTGAACATCAGTTCGGATGTCCGCAGTCCTGTCCGATGTAAAGCAGCTCCAGAGCTTACCCATCCATCTTGCCACTCAGTCACCTCCTGTAGGGCTGCGGTAATGGCGGGCAACTGTTCCACGAACCTCTCTATTGCAGTATGCCTCTCCACGAACCTCGTGGGGCACATCTCCAGCTGCTTGAGCTGACATAGAGCCCGACTTCAGTCTGCGCGCGACGCAAAGCCTCGCACCGTTTCGCTTCACCAGTCACAAACGTCACCGTGACTTCAAGAACGCCGAGAGCGTTTCTGATACCCGTCCTTGGTCATCTTAGATGTCGCCAAGCTGACACACCGTGGGAGGCGTAGTAAAGGTAATTCGCTTCTAAGGCGATACTCTTTATTTCTGGTACGACTCCCATGCCCTCTCTAGACATAAAAGCTGGTCCTTTGTAAGACTGAGCAGCAAGCGACTCCGAACGCAGGTTTAATTCTGATGCTCTCTTCAGTACAATTTATCCGAAGTTAGCCCCGCTCGTTCTCTTCTCACCATCGACATCCGTTTCACCGAGAACATCCAAGAGGGCCACAGGGTCCTCCCAGAAAACCACGCCATGCCCCTGTCTCAGCTACGTAGCGAACACTGAAAGCGCCACCATCTCCCTGCTGGTGTGATCTGTGGTCTCGTCTGCACTGATGCCCCAACTGGGAGACTTGTGGCAGCGCAGCACAGCGAGTTCCTTGAAAATGTTGCTGTATTCTTGCAAAACCTCATTTTGCGTCGCCTTTGACGCACACGTCGCGTTTCCCGGAGTCATTTTGAGGTGCTGTGCTAAATCTTTGTCCCCGGCATGAGTTTTGAACCGCACGACCATGCAAAAACTGCCATCGTTTTTCTCTGGGAAAGCTCCTGACGGATCAATCCTACCAACATCTCGGTGGCCCCGAGGGCAAGGTTTTGCAGGGCAGCAAGCTCAACGGTGTCTACGACCGAAGGCAGCGCAGGCCCGGTCCACGGCGCCTCGCTTCTCATGGCAGCATCGGCCTGTATGAAGACCTGTTCTACGTTCCTGCCCTTGACAAAAACTCCCCGGCGCGAACGCCGCTGTCCTTTTGGTAGCCACGCTCATTGTGCAGCCTCAGATTGCATCTAGCGTCCGTCTGGCTCCTGAAACACTTCAGAGAGTGATGGACTAACTTGCCCATCACTTGGCCGCTGTTGCCACGTCCTTCTCCCTCCCCACTTAACCAAGCAGCTGACAGATGGAGTGCCAGAACCCGGTCTTTTCTGTGTGCCGTGAAATAGCAAGCCACTTGCATTGCTCGACAAGTTCCTTGTTGCATTTCCTTGGGCAAAGAACTTTGTCAACCACGTGCCGACATGCCGGGAAACCCTGGCAAAGGGCAGGAGCCCATCTGCTTTGCAATCCATCACGACGATCGACGCCAAATCCGACCACTTCGATGCCAACCTGCTAATATCCTTTTGGTCAGCTTCCTCGGAGCATCCTGGAGGTCATATCTGTAGATCGATGATTGACCGGCAATGTTAGTAGCACCATTCTTCGTCTCAGGGGCTTCAAGGTTCTTGACTTGCCCGGCCTTGATAACGTGCGGGATCGCAGTTGGTGACTTACTCCCAGCTGCAGGTGACAACGCACCAAAAAGTTGAACAAAAACCTGCGTACTTTTCCCCGCCTGCCCTTGAACAGAAGTGCCTGGCGACTCTTTCCTTTTTTCCACCGTTGCTTGGATGTTATGAAAAGGTCACAAAGAAGATCAGGAGTAACGTGCGGTCCGAGAGGAGACAGCAAAGTCACAAGACGATCTATCTGTATTTATTGATAGGCAAGGCAGGGTACGATGGGAGGAAGGGGAGGGCTTGACCGGATGTTAACACAGAACAGCCAAACCTCGCTGTTTATTCAATATTGTATCTGTGAATCATTTTATCTATGCCCGACACAGTACCAAACAAAGTCTTATTTCACAATGACATCCCATTGAGTCCTCCCTCCCAAATAAGGTACAATGTGAACTGTTACGTTTGGGCCCACAGCGCGCAATGCGGCGGCTGAAAAGGCCCCCCGGGCTTCATGCTGGCTTGATTGGATGGATTTCGGGGTTTTGTCAGCTGTTTGCGTTGGCAGTGTGTTGTATGTTTTGTGGACTACTTTTCTCACGCCCAATGTACAAGTAAATCGCACACTCTGTGCAAATCACTAGACTACACTTAAGTGTGCTGACCATTGGGAACGTGGCTCATGAGCACAGCTTCAAGCTCATCACTTAAGCGTAAAAAAACAAGGTTGAGGTACCTGAAACTGTGATTTTGGCTCCATATGGCCAGTGGGTTCAAAACTTTGAGCGACTTTCGCAAGATTTTCTTTAAAAATTATCTTACAGGGCAGCTGTGAGCTTTGATATTTGCATTACAGGAAGTCAGACCTTTCAGAGGTGGCAGTTGCACTCCCCAATCCCACACAATGCATTTCCAGCAAACCCTCCCCTCATCCTAGTCTGTCCACACACAGGAAGTTAATTCGGGATCAGTTCGATTCGCGTCAAGTGGGTCAAAATGTCCCACACTTTATCAAACACAGCCAACTCATGACATCCAAAACATGAAATGTGCCGTTTCCACCATCTCGGTTTGAAGTGCCGCAACAGTCTATTTTTGTGTTCGTCCGCCTTCCTAAGTATGACTTCACCGCATATGGACGGAAATCAGAAACGGGTAGCTTACTGTGGATGGACTTTAAGCAACTAATCTGCCTCTATTCCGTTTCCCTCCTGTTTCATACGATCAACATTTCAAGAATGATAGTTTAACAATCAGATCAGCTTGCAGCATCTTAAGATAGTTTCATACTGTCGATAGAGAGCAGATCTATGACCTTCCATTTCGACTCCCGCCCCTTTTATGGCATGCGTTGCGCGCCACGCTCCCGTACCAGACGGGTCCGCGACTACTGGACCTAATACCAATGAGGCTGACTTAAATGTTCCGGTGAAATTACCTTCACATTGTTCCCCTTCTTAATCTTTACCGTGCTTCTCTTTACCCCCCCCCCCCCCCCCATCAGCAACGTATGCCATGTGTTGGGCCGACCAGTTTTGTAGTCCTCGGTGATGTGCAATAAGTTGAAGTGACCAGGAAATAGTGCAAAAAGTCGTTTAAATTGCCGCCGTGACCCAAACAGATCTAACAACCTTGCTAGTTAAAACATTATACAGAAATAAAAAAAAACAGGTGATTAGGGAAAAAGACACCCGGCGCAAATAGCACACAATGAGGTGCTTCACCACATGAACAATGAAAAACAGTTAGGGAAAAATATTCCCCAACCTAAAATAGCGCAGAAAGGCGTCGACCAGAGCAGCAAATAGCAGACTGAAACCGCTTATTAAAAACTGGAACATTGCCTTTGTGCACCAGTGTGTCGACCAGTGCGCGACATAAGCCAAGGTTGAGGAAAACGTGACCAGCGCGATTGGTTTGTAAAGATGCTGGCCAAAACAGCGAGGTAACATGGACATTAAGCTAAAGCTCTGGGAGGGGCAAAACATAGTTTTTCCCGGGCGACTTTAGCTTGGAAAGGGCAGCTGCCCATTTTGCTCGCGCCCCCGCCTTGGGTCCTCCTAAGGTTCTAGTTGTTGGTATATAATATTTCAATAGTTGGTACTAAATATTTCACAAAGTGCATTTAACTGACGCGTGGTCCATCGCCAGGGTATGGCCACATTTCGCCGTCGTCGCCGGGCGGCCAGATCTTCTGCATCGTGTACTCGCTGCTCGGTATCCCGACGAGCGGCCTGCTGCTGGCCGGCCTCTCCGACTTCTTCGCCGGCAACCTGCTCAACTTCTACGACTCCAAATGGCAGCGGCGATACGGCGACTCGAGGTACTGCCGCCCCGGCCGGGCCGCGCCGCGAAGCAGGTCAACGATCCTGACCCACTCCGCCCGGCGATTTGCGAGCGGCGTCGCGGCCGACGATCGCTCGTCGGTTTCGACGATGCCGGCCACAGCCGTCCCGGCCACATGCTCCAGCGACGCCGGGCCTAGCGGCGGCGGCCGGGAAGCCTGATGTATGGCGTTGCTGGCGACGGCTGCAGGTTTTTGCTCAGTTCGTCCTTGCTGAAACTGGGTCATTGGGCGGATACTAGAGTTGTTCCGGCCAGTGCCGGAAATTGCAGGACATTGAGGCGTCGGTCTCGGGACTCCGTGATTTGTAGAGCCCGTCAAGCTTGTCTGACGATTTGTCTCCATCGGGTAGTTTCTGAACACCCACGAAGAGCATCTCTGAGCTTTGCATATTGGAACTGTCGTCATGCATGCAGTATCACGCAGTTTCCTTCTCACCGAAAGGAGGCTGCTCGCGCGCGCTCGGTGCTGTTTCTTTTAAACATGAGGCAGCCAATGTTTCAGCCCAATCATTCGCTGTGTCCAGGATGGTGTATTACGCTAAATGCTTTGGATCAGCACAACATATTTCGGTAACTGTTGACCTGCATATTCACCGCTGAGTATGGTTCACTACAAGTGTTAATTCACCTTTTAACGATTTCCCTTAGTGTTAGAGTCGTCGGCCTAGATACATGACCCTATAATTTCTCCAAACATTTTGCTATCTTTTGGACACTGTCCGCTGGTGGCATTCTTGTCACCAGCTCCGACAATGCCAGATATGACACTGTTCCATTGGGGCGACTGGACTGTAACTTGCGAGTGTTGCATCACTTCTCTCTGAAGCGCTCAGCCTGATCACGCGTGAGGCCGCACGACGAACCGGTCTTGGTCCAATCCAGCTTCCGAGAAATGCTCCGTCCTCAGCGGCCTGACCATGCACTGAGCCCTGCTTACAACGTGCCATTTTTACTTCATGCCGCCTATGTTAGATTTTTGCTGTTCTCAGCAGGAGTATTACGTTGCGCGATATCTCCAGGTGGTGGGTGTTTGCGTTTCGCTATGCTACCACCGGTCATAAATTTTCCTGCAGCGTGACAGAACCTCTCATGAGGCCTCAACGCACAACGCAATTATTTCTTGGAAGAAATGCCGCGTGAAAAATGGACAAAAGCTCCCTTTACCATAAGTCTAGCTACAAAAGCTCAGCAAGTTGCATGACCTCATTACCCAACTGACGTGCGCGCTTCAGTTTGTGTAGTCAGCAGAGGTCCCTGGATTGACGCCTTCGGAAATCCGCTCTGACACAGAGAAAGTCTGCTGTGACACAGAGCGGACTTCCGAGCGTTCTTGGCTACTGGGTGTTGGTGCTGAACTTCCCGCGAAAGACGTTTAAGAGCGTATGTGTTCACTGGGATCATCGGGTCCAGCGATAACTGTCGTCCCCGCATTTTACCTTTACTTTTACCATACGCGTTTTAACACCAGCACGCATGCGAGAACGCTTTCCATAAAAAATGCACTCCGCTCGTCATCTGAACAACGGCGGGTTTTTTGTTTCATGATAGCCTAGAACTTGTGAAATGGAAACTGGCGTCGAGCTTTTAAGATAAAGCGGTGGAAGCGGGTGAAATCCCGCTTGTAACATGCGTTTCGTTTCCATCGTTAGTTGCAAATGCAGACAGTCTTGCCGTTTTGCACCCAGTGCTAGCTTTTGCTCGATATGCAGTCCTGCCTTGTAGAACAAAGGGCACTGCTCCCCACCCAGCCTGTGATGTTGATGTGTTTGCTGGAGTTGCACGGCGTTCATTTGCCACCCGTCCGTGTGTGCCGTGCAGATGGAGCCTGGCAGCCTTCACCGCCATCTACCTGCTCGTGGGCTTCCTGCTGTTTGTTTTTGTGCCGGCCATCGTGTTCTCGTGGCTGGAAGACTGGAACTACCGCGAGGCCGTCTACTACGCCTTCATCACACTCTCCACCATCGGCTTCGGAGACTACACAGCAGGTTCGAAACATCGCTTGGAAGCTTAAGTGCGGAGGGGTCCTTCTCGTCGTTGAAGACCGTCGCTAATAGACCGACTGCGGCGAAATCGGATGCGGCCTGCCAGCAGTCGAGCACGCCTTTTACAATAACAATGTGTAGCGTAGTAACGGAGTGTTTTCGTAACTTGCTCGATCCGTTCCCATAAATGCACGCGCCATAGACGTTTTCCAGCATGCTGAAGACAAACGTCTCGCAAACCAAGCAGTGCACTGGCACACGGCAGGGGTTCCCACGCGCGATTTTCCCCGCGCGGTGTGTGTACCCGAGAGCGGCGCGCGCGGGTGGACCCCAGAGGAGCGTCGTCCCGTCACCCTGATACCACACGGGCGGGCCCGCAGGCACGGGAGTGGGGGAGGGGCATGGGCTGACCTTCGCCGTCCCGGCGAGACCACAGGCGGTTGTGGTGCGCAACTACTGACTCTCAGGCACTTGCGTCATGCTTGGCAGATGCACACTGTGCATATGAATCACTTCGATACTCTCCAGACGGCGCCATATGCCGCTTGAATAGAATCAGTCTGTCCAAACAGCTGTGCTCTTGATCCGCATCGATTACAGCGAGCCCAGCTTAATCATAGTGCGCTCGTGGTATGTGGGCTGTAAGGTGCACGTGCAAGTGTTTCTCCCCCTGAAACATCACCCCACCAGGCAGCGTGAACGGCTGCCTGGTGCAAAGACAATCCATTTGAAATTTGGCACGCGCCAAGGCACGGGCAAGCATATGCTTCACAACTTGTGACGCGATAGGCTTGGGGTGGAAGCAGTCAATCCAAGTTTGGACTACCGTATGATTATCGATGGAATTGAAGAGGACAGGCTCGTCGATAACGCTACCCGGCAGACATTGTAATTTTGCTTTCCAATATCAACTTCGATTAAAATTCATGAAATCCGGATTGCGAACGAGCTGAAACTACGCTTGAGCCTGCCTGTTGTGAAAGTGCTCTCTTTCCCAAAGCACCTGGCGTTATTTCTCACGCGGAGACCCTTTCCCATGCGGAGACAGCCCGACCAATGCTCCGCATCTCACTCTCGGTCCATGTCGTCGTTCATGGCGCGACAGCTGACGCCCAGCAGCTGTGCCTACAGTCTCTGACATAACGTCCTGTCCGCTTGGCAGCGGTCGCCGCCGACGACGCCTGGACGACGGTGTACAAGGTGTTCGTTATGGTCTGGATCCTGGTCGGGCTTGGCTACTGGGTGTTGGTGCTCAACTTCCTGCAGAAGACGCTCAAGTCGAAGGAGGTGATGAAGACGCTGAAGTCGACCTCACGGCTGATCGCGCGCGAGGCCGAGGAGCTGCGCCACGTCCTCTCGGACGTCGGCCTGATCCACCGGGACGCTGTCTTCATCCCGGAGCACTCCAAGACGGCGCTGAACCTGATGCTCAGCATGAGCAACACGCTGGCGGGCACGTCCCACGCGGGCAGCCCGGGCGAGCCCCGCCCCGCTGGTGTGCGCGGCATTCACTCGATCGGCGACAACCTGCGCAGCCAGAGCTTGCTGGCGGCGCTGATGGCCTCCATGCCGCCACCGGCCGTCACCGCCGCCGGCCGCGAGGAGCCCGAGGAGGGCATGGTGAACCTCGGCTACCTCTCGGACGGCACGCCGGAGCGGGTGGTGGCGCCGGCGACCGACGCGCGCGCGGAGGAGGCACTCGCCGACGCGCGCGTGGAGGAGGTGGCCGTGGACGTAACAGTGCTGGGGGAGGTGGAGAGTGGACAGGAGCGGGTTGAGGTGGAAGCGGCGGGGTTGGATGTGGCGGGGGCGAAGACGAAGGGGGCGGAGATGGAGGAGGCGGAGGCGGCCGGGGTGGAGGCGTTGGGAGCGGAGACGGCGGGGGCGGCTGGCAGAGACCGCGACCTTGCAGGCAGCGTTCGAGGAGACGGCAGAGGGGGCAACGAAGACGGAGAGGGCGGCGGCTGAGCAGACCATGGCGACAGCACCGCCCCCCCCCCCCCCGTCAGCGTAGACTTCGCCCTCTCACTCCCTGTAGTTGGGATGTCCAAGTGACCTGGCCGCAGCACCTCGCACTGGTGCACTGTTGTGGTGCTGCACATTTTATATACTGATATTGTTGGATGCGACAGACGCGGTGTCTGGCTAGACTCGCGTGTTACACTCGTTAGCTGTGTTAGCGTGGTAAGCTACTTTACGAGGCTTAAAGGGCTTTCCAAGGGTCATCAGATGACCTGATACCTGACAGAGCATTCCCAACTGTTCGACGCTGCTGTAAACTAAACCATCGACAGATGTCCATGCCGGAACATCGCACAGGCCACATGGCCTGCGACCATAAGTTGCTAGTTGCGTGAGTTTCAACAGATACGCACGAGAATGGGTGACCGGATTCTATCGTTTGAGTGCATTTTTGCATTCCTGCAGTGCGAACATGGCTGGAGAATGAGAAGGATTCTCCGCTACAGTGAACAAGTCGTGGCAATACTTTTGCGTTATTTCCTGTATAGTTTGGTCTTGTTTCATTGCATCGGTGATCCTATAAGGGCTGCTGAAATGGGTTTAGGGTGTGTGCCGTCCAAATCACGCAGCCATCGTTTCGCCATAGCTCTACGCTTTTTCTTTTTTGCAGCCGTTAATTTAATATCTGTAATGGGCAATCTTGGAGCATACACAACATTTAAGCGAGATATTCATCGTGGTCTCTCGCAGCTGTGCGCGAGGACTTCACTTCGGCCTCGCTCAAAATTGGTATACAAGTTGGCGTGGTGAAACGACAAAGCTTACTGCAAACATCGACAAGCAGACCATTGGTTTACCTGAATTGTGGTGGTTAGAACGTACCGCGCCAGTTATGGCTATGCAGGACGTCACTAGAAGTGAGTGTTTATTTTTTAAATAGCGGACGGTACTAAGCCATTTAACGAGAAGTGAACTGATGGAAGTTTTAGCATGCGCGTTACTAGACCGCGTGGTATGCTACTTGTCTATAACTACTTCGTTAACACAACTTCGTATAAAACTGAGTGACGAAGTAAACGATATTTTCCTAAAGCTGAAGTGTGGAAAGGCTACTATGCGAAACGCCATAAGAAAGACATTCAAACCATGGCGAGACGTTAAATTGAATTCGTGTGATAATTACCTCATCCTGGCATAGTTTTTTTTCCTCAAGACAATGTTTCAACCTCTCGTACCACTAATTGCAACGCATTTTGGTCTACTGACATGTGGCGAAGATAACGCTACATGTATATTTGAAAAAGCAAGGCAAACGAAAAAAATACCGCTTCATAGCAGGTGATTAGCAGGAGATACAAGCTCTTACAATCTCTTACAATCAATCTCTACAATCTCTATCTCAATCTCTTTCGTCTCTTTTCGCACAATCTCTTTCGTCGCGGCAGGTACTGCAAGTTGAGTTTTCGAGAACCTGAAAGAATTTCACCAGAGCTGATGCTACCGACCAAACCGGCCCCGTCTGATCTAATTACATGTGATAAGTACAAAAAGGTGGCATACTCCTTTCAGCAAGCCGACCGCATGCGTTCGACTTGACCACTCGATCGCTGGCCACCGTCTTCATACCCTCCGTCAGTCTCACCAGCGCCTCAGGGATAATCAAGTTGTTGAGGTCGATTTAGTAACACGGGTAAGCCGAGCCATTTTGACGTCATCGGATGGCCTCGGGCATGGCTTGACATGCAGGCGACTACCGTCGCTTTACGCAGCCCGGAAGACAAAGCTTCGGGCCATCTCAGTGCGCATCCTCGGCAGCCCTAAAAAGGCTATCGGTGGTTCCACGCTTGACACTGTTTGTCACTGCATCGCGGTACAGCGCAAGCTCTTCCAGAGCTATCAGTGAGCGAGACGTATAAGATGAAGCTTTGGCTACCTTTACGTTTTACCAACTCCAAGTTTCAATGGCTGGATTATTTACGGGTCGTCTTGCACGCTTAAACCGACACCACTCCTCCCGCTGGGAAGCACGGGGCCGAACCACTGCTCATGCCAATGACGCGGAAGACATTACGACGCTTTCCACACAGTTGGCTCACAACGAGATGCTGGGTAGCGCACCTGCACGGTTGTAGGACTCGAGGTATGCGGACGACTTGAGTGTGCCACTGAATTAATGCATGAGTAACAGCCATGTGGTGGCTGCACGACGCTGAACTATACCCGAGAGCACGGCGCAGAAGATCACGGACTCAAAACGCAATACTACCGAAGGCGGCTCAGGGAGCTGGAGAAAGGACAACGTCTGTCGATCCAGCAGCAAGCAGCCGTTGTCCAGTTTGTGGTCTGCAGTCCGGGAGCGGGAGGGGGAGGGGGGGGGGGGGGGGAAGGGGGACATGGACAACTCACTTTTCGTCAAAATGGGGAGCATTGCACCTGAGAAACACTTTTCAACTTCTGTCGTGTTTAGGAGGTGGTCGCAGGAGATTCCGACCTACTTCGGATGTTCATCATGGCACGACGCTAACAATTTCTGATTGGTTTTAGTTTCCCGCACCGGATACGGTGTCGGGATAATGCGGGCTTCATGTGTAATTCCATGGGGCTGGATATGACAGGTACAGCAGCATATAGACTACTTGGAAGCTTGTAGCAACGATTTTTGAGATAAAATGTTCACGAGGGCCTTTCCAATAACTGGAGGCATCTCAAAACAGATCCGGTTTCTCCGTGTGAGGTGTTTTCAGCCCCCAACTCGCCCAGTACCAATAGTTAAGACGAACAAGCATGTCTGAAACAAACCCGGATAAATTACACACAAATGTATAGCTTGATCTACCATTGTCGACAAAATGCAGAACGTTCTTTCAACCGTGTTGATACTAAATGTGCCACGTTGGGAGAAGGCTTACCACAACAAGGACCCAGACATGATTATATGTTAAACCCTCCCGCATCTTGGAAAATATACCACCTCCCATGTCTTGGAAAACATACGTAAAACCATTCAATAACTTTACACGTCATATAGGTGAGCAGCGCTCATGAATCAACCAGAATTGGCTGCTTTTATCTAGGAATTTTTTTAGTCGCTGAGCACTGATGCATCTGAAATGGGCCTGGAGCTAGCTTTTTTCGTGACCTTTTAAGCCTTGAGTCCAAACCTTTTGATTGGACGGATCTCCGGGATCAGAACCACAGCTAAGCGGCGCTTGTTGCGTGGACTCTAACTCCAACACCCGATAGGGAAATTTAAACCCACCGGAGCAATTTTAGGGCGAAAATTGAATGTCACGTGACATGACGCTCGACATAGCCTTCATATCGCTAACGTCAGCTGCCCTTCAGCGCGGCCGCTCCCACCAGCCGCAGGTCATCCCAGCCAGGGGCAAATGGCGACCGTTTATAGCAGCTTAAACCTACGCCACCAAGGGGGGGGGGGCGACGAATCCGAGGACGACCCACCTAACCAACTGAGCTACCGGAAAACACCTGCCCTTGTCTCAGCCCGGTACCAGGACACAGCCGCTTACCATGCCAAGCGCGGATGACACGGCCACTGTACTGTCCCCAGAGCTTATCTCTCATGGACGGGAATGAGAGTGCCGACTGAACATGAGCCATGTTGGACGTGCACAGATTTAATCGGTGGTATACCGCGGGCATCGCGCATGCGCCACCAGACGACGCCTCGCGTCAGGCGGCGACTCCCGAAATATCGCTAACAAATCGCTGCCTGGGCAATATCCAGCATTTAAGACGCTGCAGATTGCGCTCAGAAAAACCTCACGCGTCCCTGAGCCTGTCCTTGAGGCTGTCCGGAGAAAAAACTTTCCTTGAACTTTTCAGCAAGCACCTTTTTGGCGGAGTATCTCCAAACGAGCCATCGTCAGGGCACCGTGGTACGGAGCCCATCCAGGCGTGTCAGCTGATCGCAAACGAAGCACTGCAGCACGCTATGACCTGTGCCCAGCACAGCAACACTCATCATGTCAAATAGATCGCCACGTGTGGTCGCGCAGAGATGATAGATGAGTCGACCGATATACATCATAGCCGACGCTTTTCGTTTACGGCGGGCTAGAAGGTAATTGGACGCCTAAAAACAGCCTCGCAGGCCCTCAATGGCTGTTGACCTAAGATGTGGATCAAGTAGATCATCTCTGACAACCCGCTGGCTGTTCACTTGTCGGCAGACAAAGGCGGTTTTGGCCCCATTTGCTGACCAATCAACTTGTTGAGGCCCTGGACGGTTGCTGAACTCACTGCCCACCGATGAGACCCTTTACCCTAACAGATTCTTTGAAGGTGCCTGCATCTAACAGGGATAATTAAGGAGCCCCCATGCACACTCTGATCTCCAATATGCGGCTGTGAACAGTAGGGCAAACGCCCCCGGAAACATGAGAAGAAGCTCGGCCAGTGAGACAACTTTGGCGGCGTTGGGTGAGAAATGCTTGCGGACGCGAGTGATATCGGCACGTTGATGTAACCAACACTTAAGTTAATGTAGACAGTCGCCTTTAGGAACCCACGCAAGCACTACTTCAACATCAACGTCAACAACTTCAACTCAGCCGTCAATCGGTTATCGGCGGACATCGACTCAACTCGTCATCAGCTTCAACATCAACATTGCGATATCACGACGAAAGTCTGACAATTTAGAAGTCAGAACAAAATAACTTTCAACAAATTGTGTCTTTGATGATTGTGACTAAGGTAATGGGAAAGGTGCAACTACTCTTGATGAAAAGTGCCACAACAAACTGGGGCACTTGCCATTCTTGCGCACATTTCATAATTCAGTCCCTTTTGGTACATTGCCAAAGCTGTTGTGTTTGAAGCTGGTTTCGGAAAACATGCATTGACCGCTTCCGGGTCGAACACTGACCCGCCTGTCAGCTGAACACTGCTGAGTCTGCTTAGTGATTCGTGGACGATAAACTCCCAGACAACCAACAGTAAGAACCGCGACTTTATCTGCTCTGGTCGTCCAGAGTTCTCATCAGTCCTTACGAGTGCCCCAAAGCTGGCGGATCAATGGCTTGTAATCGGCGGGCTGGACGCACACATCAACCTACGCCTTTTAAGGACACGATATCCGTTCTCTTGCTGCCGGGATTAGTTGGTCTTGTGTAGCTTCCACGCCGGGTCATCGAGATCGGGACTCGGTTTTGGTCCGTGTGGTTCATCTTTTGTTATCAGCATGTTTTACGTGTCTGGTTTTAACCGACATCGGAAGGTATTTGATTAACAATTGTCTGCAAATTCCAACGCATCAAGAGAACTACGTTTGGTCGAAACACTTACACGCAACTGTTAACAAACATAAGCAACCAGACAAAAAAGCAAACAAAACAAGCAAACAAACAACAAACTGTGCTTATTGCCGCTGGAAACTGCACAAGACTGTCACAGTGGATATAAATACATCATCTTTCAGCAAGCGTAATGGCTGGGTCGGGCCAAGCCGGGCCACTGAAAATGATTACTCAATCATAGCTGACCGACTACATTAACACTTGAACCATTCTGAAACTTACCTCGCACTCCTAGGCTACTTAAAGGTCTTGGAGCCAGTGCAACGGCTTCCGTGTTGTTACTTTTTGCTTGTCCTGAGAACAATAGGGCCGCGTTGGAACTCCGCAGTGGGCGCGGATCTATTTGCGTTTGATAATGACTCTTGGCAGACACGGATTTTTTTTACAATTTATGCGCCTTACATTTTGAATTTTTCAACGCCCGTTTCTCCGAACTCACAGTATTCTTTTGCCTTTGGTGCTCTCGGATCACCCGATGGGATTGCGTCCCGGTGTTTTTGAAACATGGAACACATTTGCACGCATTCGGTGTGATTAACAGACACCTCCGCTGCGTTGTTCTGGCCACGGTGCTGTGGATGGCTCCGTCCAGTTCGGAGCCCAGTTTCAGGGCGCAGCAACCATCGCCACTTGGCGGCAGGGATGGCTGGGGCTGGTGCGGGCGCCAGGGCGTGGCTAGGACTGTGCCCCAGGGCCACGGCCACCAGGCGGCGTCCAGGCCTGCACCCAGCTGTCGAGACACTCCGCACTGTAGCACCCCGCTGGAAATATCACCTTCGGCTGAAGAAGATGACGGCGTTTGGAAGGTGGGAAACCACCTTGACTTTTGCTCCGAGTTTAGATCACGCTGTTCAGCCACTTTCACCGAGTTCCAAGCTACTCGTTAAACGGCTGATATAAGAAGCCATTTGATCTGGGTGGCAAGAAATAACACTGGCTTTGCGCGCTTACTGTGACAAACGAATTACTGCACTCTGAAATGTTGATTTTCAAATTTGATAAGCGTTCGCGAACATGCAATCGTTCCTTCCTTTCAGTGTTGTAATGATTCTCTGCACATATTACACGGCATGGACATGTGCATGCCAAAATATAGCACAAACTATCTTTTATCAGCGAATACCTCAGACATTCAAAATTCAAAGACGAAACAATACCTCACTAGCGAATCATGTGAGGTAAGAAATACTCGTACGTTACGCTGACTTTTATTGCACAGATCATTCTGAGACGAATGATCCAAATAATGCTCGCGAGACTCTAACAGGGATCGGAGCCGGCGATTTCATTCGTTTCTGGTGCATAGTCCGAAACCGTTTGTCCCTGCTTGCTACGAAAGATAAAGCTATTCACTGCATCACTCACGTCCCTCGGGTCGATATCACCGAGCGAGGCTCGACTCTTTCAGCTAGGGCATTGAGAGCTGTTGACGCGCGCAGCCTGCGAACGACACGGCCATGCCACGCCAAGCCACCATCCCAGCCTAGCGATCCCGGAGGATCCACGACCGGCGGGATGTGCTGGCTGCGACTGAGGCCTGTGGCCAGCCGAGTCGATGTAGTTGGTGGCCTTTTGAAGCCGACACCTTTTCGCTTTGCTGCATTCACCGCTTATCGTAAGGCGGGATTAAATGTGGCGAGATACAAGAGCATTAGTCAACAGTTGTGTAATTTTTCAAAATGTTATGTGTCACACGCTATATTTCTGCTAGAATATTGTTGCAAACACGAGTTACTTATGATATTTCTAGTATTTGTTTTTCTCAGCGGGAAATTATAGTCAAAATACAAGCTGCCCCAATGTTCCATCGTCTTTCGGTGTGCAGTGCGCATTAATTTCCTGCATGGATGTAACCTTCTCTGAATTTAAGGAAAGCCGTGATGCCGTGCCTCTTGCAGTTCTGCGAATCTGTCAGTCGTTGTTTCAAGGACATTAGGTCCATAGACGCCGTCATCTACCTGTGTACCGCGGTCTTGGATTTCGGGTGTCCGTTAGCTGTTAGCATCCGAGCCAGTGTTCTCGTCACTGCCGCCTCATATGACCACCCGATGCCCCGATCTCTTAATCGGTGATCACCGTATGGCCCGATCTCTTAATCGGTGAGCACATTACGCCCTGATCTCTTCATCGGTGGTCTCCCTATGCCCCGATCTTTTCGGTGACCGACCTATGCCCGATATATTTGGTGGCTACCCTATGCCCCGATCCTTTCGACGGTGACCAACCTACACCCCGATTTCTTCATCGGTGACCACCCTACGCCCCGACCTCTTCATCGATGGCCACTCTATGCCCTGATCTCTTCATCGATGGCCACTCAATGCCCCGATCTCTTCATCGATGGCCTCTCTATGCCCCGATCTCTTCATCAGTGACCCGTGCTGCTCCCCAGCGGCAGTCCGGCTCTGCCGCAAATCAAACGTTTGGTGATGTGAGCGTTGACGCCCAGTTCCTTGGCCACCTGATCCTGGGTATCCTGCTGTGCCCGGCCACCTGATCCTGAGTGTCCTGCTGTGCTCGGCTACCTGCCCCTGGATATCCAGCTGTGCTTGGCCACCTAACCCTGGGTATCCTGCTGTGCTTCGCCACCTGACCCTGGGCATCCAGCTGTGCTTGGCCACCTGACCCTGGGCATCCAGCTGTGCTTAGCCACCTGACCCTGGATATCCCGCTGTACGCCATGCCGTCCGCCCGGAAGCAGGTCCATGGTGTTTGCTCTCCGACCATCCTGGACACTGGATCTATGTTCTCCGGGTATCAGTCTAAAACTGACATCTGCTCCGCTCCGCTGACAAAGCCCAGGCCACCCGGAAAGGTCACATGACCAGCCAGCCCATGCCCATGCCCTGAGGCTGAGGTCCGGTGAAATAGCATTCATTTTTCGGTGGTCCCGGGCAAATGAAGTAACGCAAGCGAGACGGCATCATTTTAGGGACTCCCTACAATTGGAAACATCTTGGCATGCACTGTTGACATCACGGCACTATCTCTAGAGCGCACCCAAAACCGTTGGCATCGGGGCCGCGGTTGCCTCGGTAGCAGGTCCGTCTTGTCGAGATAGGCCCGCGCAGCGCCGCGGTTGTCTCGGTAGCAGGTCCGTCTTGTCGAGATGGGCCCGCGCAGCGCCGCGTTTGTCTCAGCGGCAGGTCCGTCTTGTCGAGATGGACCCGCGCAGCGCCGCGGTTGTCTCGGTAGCAGGTCCGTCTTGTCGATATGGGCCCGCGCAGCGCCGCGTATGTCTCGATGGCAGGTCCGTCTTGTCGAGATGGGCCCGCAGAGCGCCGCGGTTGTCTCGGTAGCAGGTCCGTCTTGTCGAGATGGGCCCACGCAGCGCCGCGCGTGTATCGGCAGCAGGTCTGTCTCGTCGCGATGGACCTAGCGTCAGTTCCGTGTGAACCAGTTACGAGCTATCTGAAGAATTCGCTCCAAGCGGTTTTTAGTTCCCGTAGCTCCGCTGGAATGATCGAGTCTACGAATTCGGCGAGCGTAACATGCTTCCCACGGGAGCAATGCGATACCAGTTATGAAAAACAACAATATCAGACCGAAATCGATTCTCGGATCATGTCATGAGTGACGAAAAATACTTGAGCGCCGCTGCTCTGGACGGTTCGAGGGCGGCTACTTCACCGGTCCTGGAGCGAGCGGTCACCTGTCCCATATCAACCAGGCTTTCCCATATCAACCAGACTTTCCCATATCAACCAGGCTTTCCCATATCAACCAAGCTTTCCCATATCAACCAGGCTGCTTCAGGAGAAGGCTATGCCCCACGCACCGAACGCATGTGAGGAGTCAGTTGTCATGAGAACTGGGACCAGACCATTGCCATGAGGACTGGAACCAGGACTTGTCATGAGGAATGGTACCTGGTCATTGCCATGAGGACTGGCACTAGACCATTGCTATGAGAACTGGCACCAGACAATTGTCATAAGGACTGGGACCAGGTCGTTGTTATGAGGACTGGAACTATTGCTATGAGGACTGACACCCGGCCATTGCCACCAGGACATTTTCAAGAGGACTGGGAGCAGGACATCGTCCATATTGGCTCTGAGCTACGGGCTGTGCCGAGCAAAGCCAATTCTGCGGGATGGCTTGCAATGCTCGGAACTCATGCTGTTCGAGGCATCGTATGCTGGTGATATCGTGATACCTGCGGGCACCCGAGGTTCTCTTTGGTGTAAAGGTGCCGGGGTTCGCCAACGGGAATGAAGAATCAGTCACCGGGCCGCATGCAGCACCCGTATGAAAGCTGTGCAGGGCCTGACGATCGGAACCCATCGCCGACAACGTGCGACGACACCGGCAGCGGCCAGCTCACGACCCCATGATCGGTTACGATGACATTTATGCGTTTTTACCATGCATTGTTTTGCATTAGTTGCTCACCTCTAGGACGCAGATCGCGATAAACGTTTGCAGGCTTGATAATGGAAGGTAGGTTCGCTTTCAACGAGGAGTTCGGTGAAGATGGGGCCGCTCTTCCTTCTCTGCGATGAAACCTCAGCAACCTTGATGTTGTTCCGATTAACTGAGAAACACTTATTTGTATTGCGAATTTCCGCGCACGCCTCCGCCTAGCAGTATTTCGAGGCAATTTCTAATTTCAGCTATTCAGTGAATTGCGCTGTGTCGTGTGAAGTTAGACTTCAGACATGTAGCTAAAAATAAGTTGAACACGATGTATTCGATAATGACCCTTCCTCGCAAGAAAAACTCGATGGCATGCGCACGGGGTCATTTTTCAGCGCTCTGAGTTCCCGAAATTTATGCGCGCCTTCGGTGCGACCCAGAGATGCTTTTATCTTCTCTGTACGTTTTAAAGCATCAGGTTTGTTCCGAGTGATGAAAACAACTGTATTGCTGTTGCCACATCAATTGTAGGCGCCAGTGACACACTCCAAACCATTTCATGACTGGTCCTCCCCATGACCTAAATACGACCTTGATGACCTTGTTTCGTTCCCTCCTACTGCAAATCGGTGGCGCCATCTGTCACTTCTTTTTTCGTCCCCAGCGCCAAATGTAAAGCTCCACGCGGGCTGCTCTCTGGAAAAAGCCTCTCGGTTATCACCCGGATAAACTATATCGGAACTGGTTTTGAAATTAAGCCGCATCCCGCCAGAACCCAGGTTGAAAACCGAGTCGATTCAAAGCTTCACCGGTCACGCGCTCTGGCGCCCTCCGCGCCACCTTTTGACAGGTCACCGAACCTAAGCCACAGCTTGCGGTCACCGTACATGAGTAGACTGCGCCGTTTTACGGCAGACTTCCTTTTGATGTCCTACAGACGAGACGTCGAATCGCGACAACGCTGACAGCCTTAGACCAGAGCAAGAGCAAAGGTGTACTTTTTCTCCAGGAACCCGAGTCAAACTAGTGCTTGATCGGTGCCGGCTGCAACTTATAAGACACGCGGTTTGATTCCAGCTCTGACTTCAAGCAGGACAGGACGACCCGGAGCGGGCACCAAATCACGCTGTGTTAAATGAGGCTCAGTTCCACAATCAGTGCCGATAAAATCTCAGTTAATCTCTGCGCAATCACGAAATTTTTCTCACTTCCTCGCACACTCTCCCGTCCAAGCGTGCTTTGCGGCTTCGGTGATGTAAGCGTTGTTGCCGGCCATCCGGTAATGTTTCGGTCCTGAGAAGATTGGCCTCCGACCCGACCCCAACACAAAGGAGTAGGGCATCTTTGCAACTTCTGTAAACTTCGGGCACCTTTCTGTGACTAAAATCATATGCTGAAATTTTGTAGGTACTTGTAAAAACGACAGTGGCGTAGTTTCGCAAAATACGTTGGGGGGCAGGGGCAGTACGAGCGGGGAAAACGTCACCACGTACTCAAAAATGCACCAACAAACGGGGTGTTTACGGATTTAGAAAACTTTCTTCTTATAGCTGGGGAGGGGTATTGAAACCTAGTTGAATAGGAAACTACACCCCTGAGGAACGATAGCAGCAAAGCACACACCAATGTTGAGCTACCGCTGCAGGCATCTCTATTTCATCAAATAAAGTGGCTCCAATCCGAGGAAAATCCGAGGAAAAACGGAGGAAAAACAACAGTCAGGTGATCTAGGTGAAACGACCCAGGGTTCAGCCTCCAAACTAGTTTGGGGAAGCTGCATCTAGAACAGAAACTGCATTTGCTTATTAGGATCACGTTCTTGTGAGAAATATGTTGTCATGGATTAATTCTCAGCTTAACGTTTGTCGGATTTTCATGATGTGCCCATGTGATGAGAATGCGATATGCCAGGTTTGGCAGCGGCCGCCTCAACCTCCAGGGAATGGAGCATGTTAATCATTTTCCCATGAAAGTATAGCTTTAGAACGTTCAATTTTGTCAAAGCTACCCACCCTTAAACGTGTTTGTGCCGTTATTGACCACTCGTTTTATCTTCCGAATTTTACGATTAACTGATGACTTGTTTTATCAAATTTGAACCCTATAAATGACTGCGTAGCCCATGTCCGCTGGCGCCATGGGTGGACGAAAGTTGAGCTGTGGGGAAGAGCAGGGAGATTTGTATAAGTTTTTACTCTGATCTCCCTACCGCTATAACTACTGAGCACGGGACTTATTGAAAATTATGGAATTACGGAACTACGGAAATAAAGAAACTACCTACGTCATGCAAATGCCGATATGTTATCACAATGCCAATAAGTCATGACAATCATATTAGCCAATGATTGACGGTAAGTCGGTCAATAACATATTGTCCGTGCATTGTATCAACAATACAACATGCCCCATGCACAGCTGATAAAAGATATACCACCCGAATTCTCGGGTGAAAGTTCGCGCCGCCCTGAAATTCCCGTTTAGCAAATGTTAAATGTTTTGCAGCATAGGCAGCACATGCACTCCCCCCCCCCCCCCCAAACACACTCAGCACATCATTCAGGATGATCGAATCATGCCTTAAGTCCTTAAATACACAATTACATGGACCACAATAGCCTTCAATAATATGCTAGAAACACTTGCCTCGCTCACCCCAAGACGAGCGCACGTATGCGACCGGAAGTCCGCTGAAAGGTAGAGTAACCTCTTGTTCGTCATCTGAGGGACTCAAGACTGCCATCTGTTAAATGCCTTTAGAATGAATCGTCCTGATACTTTTTAGCCATATTCAGGTCACCACACTCTTCCATGCAGTGTCCTGTGAAATAAACTCAATCTAGATAAGAATGGTTCATAGTAACATGTCGCATCAACCAATTAGATTGTTCTGCAGGGTCACCGACATTAAGTTTCCTGGAGAAACTAGTAAGAGGAAGCTGCCAAGCAGCATTCGGAAAATATTACGAAAGTTCTGGACATTTCTCGAGACGCCCGGGGTGACGATCCTTGCGCACAAGGCAGTCACGTATAACTATGAGCATTGCTGGAAATGTCAAATGTTGTTGTGGCATGCTGTAATGACCGTGCGACATCTTTATTTAGATTCATCTGACATATTAAAGGTCAGGCATTCCG